CCCAAAATCAGAATTTTTGGGGAGTAGCAGTTTTGGTGGAAGTGGTGGCTCATGGAACTCGCCCTTTGAAATGGACCGGTATTGGATAGGAGTGGATTTCATTGTGAAAATAATTTTATGTGTTTTTATATAAAAAAGAAAAGATACAGATACGAGGATGAACTAGGTTCAAAGAAAATACGGCAACCGTTCCCCAGCAATGATGCCAGAAATGCTTGTTGGTATTTTTTAACGCATACATAAATAATCCGCAAGCGCATGGAAGTATCGTTATAGCACTTCACCCAGAAGTATTCAGGGTATCGTATTTTGCACAGGAAATGAAGGTACACTTCTAGCTAGTTCGTCCAAGGACAACACAAGGGTAGAGTTGGTAAAGGTGGAGATGGATTCCAATGGTTTAGAGTCTAAGGATAGATAAGATCTACTATTACTTGCTTACTTTGGGCACCGACTTATACTTGATCTGCCAAGTACCTTCGGCCTATAGCTCTATGTTGTACCCAGATGTGGTGGATTACGAGGAACGCACAGGTCTATCACCACCTGCTGCCTACCCCTCAACCGTGGAGTATGAGGCAAATGAAGGTAGCATCTAGCCTAGACACCACGTCTACGCTATCAACTACTATTCTAGTGCGTTAACAAGGGTTATCCGTCTCTATCAGGGCCCTTCTACTACAACATTCGCCGCAAGGACGAACGACAAAACCGTAAACAAGTAAGAGTAAAGTTTAACTAATCAAAAGACTTTATACTATTGAAGTAAAGATGCTCGTCGAGGTACAAGTTTGGGAGACACCGACAAGTCTGGCGCTTCCCCGAGCTCTCCCTCACATCTCTCCCTTACAACTCTAGCTAGCTACTAGGGCCTAAGCCCTTTGGAGTGTTGCTCTAACTCAAGTGGAATACTCTTTTTGCCATGTGTGTTGTTCTTGTAGAGGGGGGTAGCCCTCTATTTATACAAGGAGTACAGGCGGTGCTGGAAGCTATTCTTGGCGCAAGGACCGGCTCCCACCGCCTCAGCATGGAGACATGCCACCACCAAAGCAAGGGGTGGCCGAGAGGCGCCGATAGGGGGTCGCCCGCCCCTAGGGGTCAGCCGTCCCCTGACCATGTCCCTTTGCCACCGCCTTCGCGTGGTGGGCTGTGGGCTGGACATGGATCACTCCTCCATTGTGCTTTGCCCCGGTTGAGTCGAGTTGATGCGTGCCTCCCTTGTTCCTTTGCACGAATCAGCGTCAAAAAGCGCCTTTCGGTGAATTATTCTATGTATTTGTGTTTGTGACCTGCAAAATAATATTCTCCAAATACATGTGTAACTTGGTTAATAGTAAATGCATATGTGGTTTAGTTTGCCAATTTTTCCTCTTTTCGTACCTTAGTTGGCGGTAGGATTTGATCATTAAAAACTGCCAACACTAACCCCCTACCAAATCACTCTCTACGCTCTGTTGTAACCCCCGATTTTGGGTGCTCTTGAGTATAAGGATCATCAGTTGCTGGACGTAGGGCACCGATTGGCCGAAACCAGGATAAATTGTTGCGTTCTCCCAAACCGTGGCGAATCAGTGAAAACTTCATTAATACAAAGTGTAGAGCTACATGAGTACTACAAGATTGCTTAAAGGAGTTTTATCTAAATCGCAATGGTTTTCAAAGTAAAAGGCTCCAAAATAGGCTACATTGAAACTGAAAACAGCTTCAAGACAGAAAAATTTTCAAAGTTAGAAACAACATTAAGTTGAAACTTGTGAGATCTATTTGACCATGTTAGGCACTTATTTAGCTCATGACCCTTAAATAAAGTTTGTTACCCTTGATGTGAACTACAACTTTTATTTAGGCCACATAGCCATGCAAACAATCTAAGCTATTGTTTAACTTTGGTCAAACTAGCATCATGAAAATGGCATTCCAAGGTAACCCAACACTTAGAAGCAAAATTGGTTTATGTCATAAATAAAAAAGTTGTTCCATTTACCATCCTAGATGTATCTAAGGTATTGTTGTGACCTTACAACCATTTCATACATTGGTCATATATGATTACAAGCATAAGCATATATATATATAATCAACATTTCATGCGATAATGTATAAGAATGAGATGAAATTTCATATGCTCATGTTCATGAATGCTTGGACGATGCTTGTGCTCATGAAATGCAAGTGCCAAATGACATGCTTAACACTGGGGTGTTACAGCCACTCCACCTTATAGAAATCTCGCCCCGAGATTTGAAAGACCTACCATTCTTCATAAAAAGCGGGATAAACGTCACGTAAATAATCCTCCCGTTCCCACGTGGCATCTTGTTTATTGTGGTTATTCCACACCACCTTGTAGAACTTAATGACCTTGCTCCGGGTTACTCTTTCTATTTCTTCTAGCACTCGGATTGGTTTCTCTTCATAGGTCAAATCCGATTGGAGCTTAATGTTGGTGGGTAAAATAGCTTCCTCAGGTATGCGAAGACATCTTTCTAACTGAAAAACATGGAAGATATTGAATATAACACTCATTTCTAGGGGAAGTTGTAACTTGTAGCGACATTTCCCTTTCGCTCAATAATCTGGTACGAGCCTACATATCTAGGCTCAAGCTTCCTTTTCACTCCGACTCTCTGCACTTCCTTCATGGGCGAAACTTTTAAGTACACATAGTCTCCCACTTCAAAGGTTAGTGGTCTTGTCCTTTTATCAGCATAACTCTTTTGTCTTAACTGAGCTGCTTTCATGTGCTATTGGATAACACGTACTTGTTCTTCAGCTTCTATGACAAAATCTATGCCATAGTATCTTCTTTCTCTGGGCTCAATCCAATTCAAAGGAGTTCTACATTTACGATCGTACAAGGCCTCCAAAGGAGCCATCTTAATGCTCTTTTGATAACTGTTGTTATAGGAGAATTCGGCTAAAGGCAGCCATTTTTCCCATGAACCCTTAGAGGATATAACACAAGCTCAATATATCTTCTAAGATTTGGTTCACTCGCTCAGTTTGTCCAGAAGTTTGTGGATGGTATGCTGAAATTCTGATTAGTTTGGTTCTCAAAGCCTTGTGCAAGTGTTCCAAAAAACGAGCTATAAACTGTGGTCTGCAATCTGGGATTATGGTTCTTGTTACTCTATGTAGCCTCGTAATTTGAGAAACATATAGCTCAGTGTACTTCCCAGCGTAATACGTTGTGTTAACCGGTACAAAATGTGTCGACTGGGTGAGACGATCTACAATGACCCATATGAAATCATGACCTTGTTGTGTCTGTGGGAGGCCTGTAATAAAGTCCATACTTATTTCCTCCCATTTCTAGCCTGCAATGGACAACGGTTGGAGTTGTCTACCAGGTTTCAGATGATCTGCCTTCACTCGGCTCCAGACATCACACCTAGCAACGTAGGCTGCAAATTTTTTCTTCATTTTGGTCCACCAATAATAGTTTTTTAAATCTGGATATATTTTGCTACTACCCGGAATAAAGCATATGCAAATGAAAAAATCCGAAATTATTTTATAGATTGCAGAATAATAATTACTTAGGCCTTCAATTAACCAAACATATCAAAATAGGAAAATAACAAAGCAAAAAAAGGAAACTTGAAACAACAAAAATACAGGAATTAATCAAACATATCAACTTTTTAAAAATGGCATAATGCAAAGAACCGAATCATTTGAGGGATTATAAGTACACAAAGATTGATGGCCTTGAATGGAGCAAACATATCAAACTTTCAAAACGACATAGTGTAAAGAACAGAATTATTACCTCCGTCTCCAAAAGAATGCAATTCTAGCACAGTGTCACATTTTAGTATATTAAGTTTGACCAATTATAGATAAAAATATATCATGTTTATGACACCAAATAAATACCATCAGATTAATTACGAAATATATGTTTATAATAAATTAATATAAAACCATAAATATGAATATTATTCACTAAAAATTTGGTCAAACGTGAATCACTTTTCGTGGCACGCAACTTATAGTTGCATTCTTTGCAGGACGGAAGTAGTATTCTATAGATAAAAAATATACAAAAATATATAATGCCCAACAAGTAACCATGAAAAAAGAAACAATGGGCAAAACATGAAATCTGAAAAAAATTACAGTGAATGAACCTTCAATTACAACAATCATAGCAATATAAGAATAATTAGATTTATACAGTAGTGCTATTCTAACCCACCAGTAGCTAAAACTGACTAGAAAAAATACTAAGTACTACTGAACCGCGTTCAAGTCAGTACTATACCAGTACAACAAAATACTGAATAATACTAACACGTGACTGAAGTGAAATGGATACAAAATTAGAATAGAAAAAAAAACTCGATGGGCTTCGATGCGATGCAAGCCACGCAAAAGATCAGTTGAGCCATGCATGCATGCGAGTGAGAAGCACAAAATCGATGCAACGTGGCCCTACCCTAAGAACCATGTTACTCATTGTGCAACGCTTGGTCAAGCCTGCGCTAGCTGCAGAGATTGAGGACACGGCCTCCTAGGCAGCTGACTGCTAGGCATTTGATCCTGGTCCTAGGCGACCGAAGACGCCTGTGAGCGCTATCTGGGCCAAATAGATCTGACGAAGAGGGAACCAAACAGGCTTTGACTCCGAAAAAGCTCAGATTCGATTACATTACACAAAGTCGAACTAGAAGCAGATGAGCATCGAATGAATGGATACTCTGAAATAGAACGGGCACAAGGTCATGCGTAGATAGATGGCAAAGACAAATCCAACGATCTGGAAACCATATGATGGAAACAAATAAACCACTCAAGCAAAGTATAGCTGCAGTGTAAAGAAAAAGGGCAAATATGTGGGACAGTAGATAGACATGCAGTACTTCAATCTAGTGCTCCGTACTTCCATCTCAAAACCATAGTCACAGTCTCACAGATTTTATAATTTACAAACTATATATACAAGCGCAGAGCTAGCTACCTCCAACGGACATCAGTGGTCAATAATAATCAAGCCTTCAAACTGGCGGTGGCTCCGGCTGGCCGGCGGCGTTGGGTTGAACGGCAGCGCGACAGATGGGGCACGTCGAGTGCGATCGCAGCCACATGTCAATGCACTCCACATGGAACAGATGCTTGCAAACCGGCAGCCGCCGCACCACGTCGCCGACCTGCACCAGCCCCAGGCATATGACGCACTGCGCCCACCCTGTCGCGTCTCCGCCGCCGCCGATACCACTCTCCCGCTTGTACGCAAACGCCGGGATCGCGGACAGGACAACCGCCGCTTCCGTCCCGCCACGGCTCCGCGCGGCGCGCATAGCCGCTCTATGACGCAGAGCGGCACGCTGGCGAATCTTGAGGTAGCAGAAGGAGAGCGCGACGGCGCAGGCGGTGACGACAGAGGCCCAGATGACGCCGGCGACGAGGCAGAGTAGGATGAAGGAGAAGAAGATGCCGAAGGTGAGGAGCACCGCGAGGTTGTGGTCCCTGTCGTCGGACGGAGCAGCTGATGCATCGCCTAGACTACTTGGCTGCTGGTGGTACGAGAACCTGGAGAAGAACATGCTAATAGCTACTCAGCTACAAACTATAGCCAAGTGTTGATGATCCGGTAAACACTGAGATATTCTTATGTTATGCACTCTCCAATGCTAGCAAACATATATATATGGACGCCACGCCGTACAGAATGGTAGTGTGCTGCAAGAAGCAAAGCCATACTCTATTCACAAGATAGAAAGATATGTTACTGAACCACTGCAAAGACTAGCTATATATCGGACTAGTCCAGAGGCTTAGCATCCGGCCAATGAGATAGACTAAGAGTTGTAGGCGCTGTTAGGTTTGACTTTGATGTATGTTCATGTTGCAGCAGTTGCACCAATGAAGTCAGACACCCTTGGGCCTATCATGCGTCATGTTGTCTAGTATTTAACTGTTGGAGACAAATGTGCACGGTTATGCTAGCAGAGCCAATTCATCAGCTAGTCACATCATCATCACCCATAAAGTTAATCTTTGTTTATATACATTATTAGTTGGAAGTTATTGGTCTACTTGTTATGAAACTATACACGCTATTAGGCCAGTCTCAATAGGAGTTTCATCTCTCAGTTTCCAACACATTCAGATTTTAGAAACAGTGCAGAATAGTTTCATCCCCTCTCTCTGCTCACATGAAACTCTTATCACCTCTCTTCATTAATACAGTGCCATGTCAGCATATTTAATATATATGAAACTCAATGAAATCCCCATTGAGATTGGCCTTATCAGCGTAGACAAGAGCACTAAACAATGATCCCTGCTCGATTCGCCGCACTGCTTCAGTGCCCCTTGAAGAACTGATTTGCACCATGTTGCTGTGTCAAACCTTATCGAAAGTAAGAAGCAGGGTACTAGAGTGTAATTAAGTTCGAAAATGACGACAATCATAATGGAGAACAATAATAAAAACAAGTTCATGTTGTTGATATGTTGATCCAAGTGTATTGAGCTGGACCGATCCGCTGATCCGTTGACACTGTCAAGCTCATTTGGTGATATTGGTTCGGTCTAAACAATATATATGACGCAACAAATATTGCATTGGTGTGCAGTGCTAGAATCCTTCCTTGCATCCGTACAAGTCTTGTTTGGATGTTGAGGAAAAAATTAAAGAATAACAAGTTGACTACATCACCACTCAACTTTACCTGAGCTGTCATCCTTATTTGCGTGAGGCAATAATCATGAATGGCTGGTAGTGGAGCATTAAGGCTGCCTCTGATGTGAGGAAATTAATCCATTGGGAATGGAACAGGATACCAGCTCGGTTTGCAACATCCAAACAAGCCCATAGGCCATAATTAAGTTTGCACAATACTAATAATCTCCAATCGCTACTCGATTTGTCGCACTTGCCTCTCTGCCCTTTCACGAACCAGTTTGCACCGTACGACTTGGTGTGCAGGACCTTATTCGAGTATATATATAAACAGGACGGAGACTTCCCCAAATAGATGGATTTGTTGTTGCAACAGGCCGGCATGCTCAACATTATCTAGCGAGTTCGAAAATAACTGTCATAATTGAGGAAATAAAACATATTCCTCTAGTTGAACAACACTTACTTGATTTGCCACAATGCTTGTGTGCCCCTTCAGGCCTTCACCAACTGGTTTGGACCTGCTGCTTTGTTAGACCTTGCAGAAGTATAATCAGATTGGATACTTTCTCTACTAGTCTAAAACTTTTTTTTTCTGATGGATTAGTTGTTGCAACAGGCATGCTGAACATGATATCACGAGTTTGAGAATGACTGTTGTAAAAAAAATGGACCCTAGCCTATTTACTTTCGATTTTATTGTTTGATGACCAACACAACCAAATTAGACTAATGAATTTGCAAGTAATTGTTTTGTAGTTCAATAGGGTGCAAGACGTGACTTAGACGAAGGCGACGTGATGATCCGATGATCAACACCTTATGCAAGACCCTAGAAGCACAAGAGAAGACTCAAGATATCAAGTAAAGTCCAAGCACGAAGATAGGAACCAAGCCGGACGCAAGATCGCGAAGAAACGAACTCACAGTGTTGACCGGACACTGGTCTTACAGCGACCGGATGCTCCGATCAAGAGGCTCGGCAGCAGCAGGCGTCAACAGCAGCGACCAGACGCTGAACAGTAAAATGACCGGACACACAGATGATGCTGTTCATCATCATCAGCAACACACTCAGTACTGACCGGACGCTGGCGGCAAATCGACCGAACGCGGGACTCTAGCATCCGATAGAGTACAGAAAGGTTCCAGATAGGCGAAACGACGTCCGGACGCGTCCGGTGGCATGTGACCAGAAGCTACCAACGTCCGATCAGTTGATCGTGGCTCTAACGGTCGGGATGACCGGACGCATCCGATCAGGACGACCTAAGCGTCTAGTCAGTAGCAGAAAAGCGAGATTTCGTCCCCAACGGCTACTTTCTTAGTGGGGATTATAAATAGACCCCCCAACCGACCATTTGAGGATAGTGGAGCTGAGCAAAACATATCTAGCGTGTTGACACACTATTTTAGTGATCTCCACTTGTATAGTGCATAGTGATTCATTAGGTGATTAGCGTAGGTGCTTTGCGAAGTGCTTAGGTTGATTAGACCACCGCTTATGCACTTGCTCTAGGTTTAGGCCTAGTGTTTAGTGAGGTTTGCATACCTCTGACCACTCGGTGCTTGCGTGCACCATTGTTATACATTGGAGGGGCTTGTAGTCTTACGAGATCATACCAACCGCGTTTGTGGTGTGGCCGCCACCGTGTACCGGAGGGAGCAAGGCCCGCGATGTTTCGGCCGGAAGCTTGATAGTGAAGACGGGGGAGAGGTTCGGGAGAGGCTTGCTAGAAGGCACACCGGAGACCCACTTGCGTGTGGGGAAGGCCCGGGACTATTTACGGAGTTACCCGATCGGGAGCTTGGCCCTTGCGAGGGATTCCTTTCGAGGGGCTCCAACGAGGACTAGGGGGAAGCTTGCGCGTTTCTCGATACCTCGGTAAAAATACCGGAGTCGTCGATGGGAGTTTGCATATCTCTACCTTGCTCTTTAGATTCCTCATTTACATTGTTTGTATTACTACTTTTGAGATAGAGATAGCAATACACTAGCAAAACTGTAGTTGCACATTTAGATAATTTATCTTTTGCATATATTTTGCTAATAGTAGAAAAAGAGGCCATAGTTTAGAAGTAGAATTTTAAGTTGCCTAATTCACCCCCCTCTTAGGCGTCTCGATCTATTACAAGTGGTATCGGAGCCAGGTTGGCTTAATTTAGACCTTTGGCTTCACCACCGTTGAGCCAACGCTATTTAGAGTGGTTGGGATGGATAACTCTAGGCCTCCGCACTTTGACGGCACTAACTTCCCCTACTATAAAGCTAGAATGGCTTATCACCTCAAGGTGGTAGATTTGGGTGTTTGGAGAGTCACTCATGATGGGATGAAACCCATTAAGAATCCCGATAAACCCACAAAGAGTGAAGAAAAAGAAATTCATTTCAATGTTAGAGCTAAAAATTTCTTGTTTGAATCTTTTAGCATGGATGTGTTTAACCAAGTGTTCACTTTAAATACAGCACATGAAATTTGGTTAAAACTCTAAGAGCTCCATGACAGCACAACTAATGTCCGTGAGCAAAAACATTGTCTAGCTAAACAAAATTATGATTCCTTTAAAATGAATGATGATGAGCTTGTTCGTGATATGTATTCTTTTTTGAATCTAATTATCAATGAGCTCCATTCAATAGGATTAACAAAGCTAAATCATGCAGGCATCGTGAAGAAGATCATCTCCGTGCTACCATAAAAGAAATATGCAAGCATCATCATCATCCTTCACAACATGGAGGACTTGAGCACCATGACCCCGGCCATAGTCATTGTCAAGATAGTGGCATTGAAAATGTCACGCAAGATGGGTTAAGAAGAAGCCTCTTCATCAAGCAAAGACAAAGCTCTCACATGTAGTGAGAAAAAGAAGATGAATGGCAAGAAAATTGAGACAAGCTCAAACTCAAGCTCCTCAAGTGAAGATGAAAAAGAAGAAGAGGATGATGATAATGATGAAGATTCAAGTAATGATGATCAATCTTCCTCCTCCACCTCCGATCTTGATGAAGAATCAATCAAACTTATCAACAAGATGGAGAAGATGATCCAAAGGCTCAATATCAAGGGTGTGCCCATCCAAATTTAAGATATCATCTTCACCAATCAAAGAAATGAGCAAAGAAAGAGAGGATGCTATGGATGTGGCGAATTAGGGCACTTTGTGGAAGTTTGTCTAAACAAGTTCACATCCAAGACAAAGAAGAAGGCATGCAAGGACAAAGCCCTCACATCAATAAGGTCATAGGATGATTCTTCAAGTGAAGAAGAAGACCATCACAAGAGGCGAGGGCACAAGCACTCATCACAAGATCTTCTTGTGTGTGCCTTATGGCACGAGGTAATGAAAGCTCATCCTCTAGTGAGAGTGATAGTGATGATGAAATGCCTTCTGATGATGAAATTGTGCAACAAAATCTTAATTATGCTAAAGTTTACACTAGTCAATAAAAAGAAGCTCGAAAAAATAAAAGAAAAGCTAGAAAGTTCACAAGAAGCATATAAAACTTTGCTTGAACAATATGAGACATTTGCTAATCTCAATATTGAACTATCTACTAAAATTGAGCAACTTGAGCCTAGTGCAACAACAAATGCATGCACAATTAATGATGAGCAACTTATAAAGAAAAATGAAAAATTAAAAGAAAAATTAGCTAGCTCACGAGATGCTTATAAAAGTTTGCTTGCTAAAATAGAAACCATGTGCAAACATTGTGATGAGCTAACTAATAAAGTTGCTAATCTTGAAGCCGTCGGTTCCACCCTAACCAAGGCATCTAAAAAGAAAAGTTCTATCTTTGATAAGCCTAAAAAGGATGCTTCTACTTCTTGCAATAATTTATATTTAGATTCACCCTTGTGCAACCAAGTTTGTGTTGAGAAAGTTGTTGTAGATACATGCACACAAGAGGTTGTAAAGGAGAATGAGCAACTCAAGCAAGAAGTGGCTCGCCTCACCAAGGACTTGACTCCAGTGAGAGGCAAGACAAAGCAAGCCCAACTTCATCAAGATAACACTATCAAGGGAGTGAAGAAGCTTGATGAAGGACAAACCATGGTTTGCTATGTGTGCCACAAGGAAGGCCACAAGTCCTATGAGTGCAAGGTGAAGAATGGGGGAGGAGCAAAGAAGAAAGAGAAAAAGCAAACAAGCAAGCTCTCCAACACCTACACCAACAAGGTGGACAAGAAGGCCTCTGCTCCTTATCTCTTGAAGAAGAAGAAAAATGACAAGGTGGTGTCCATCAAGGTGAACAAGCAAGCCAACAATGGGGTCAAAAGCTTTTGGGTGCCAAAGGAGATCATTTCCAACATGAAGAGCATCAAGAAGGTTTGGATCCCGAAAGGGAAGTGAGAAGTCCGATGGACTTTGAGGAATTTAGAGAATTGGCAAAGTATGGGTGCATTTCATGGGGTGCATCATTATGGACAATGCTAATTGCCAAGTGGGTTAGTGAATACTATGGACCCAAATTCTTCTTCCCATGTTAGGTAACTAAATTTAATTTCCTACAAGTGGTATTTTTAAACATCTAGTTACTTTTCATGCCTAGGTTTGCATTTGCATGCTTATATCTTTTGTCATGCATACACTAGGTATATCTCATGGTAGGCTTGCTCGGTTTCACTCTTGACCCTTGGAGCAAACCTACATGGTTTAAATTGCTTAGGAGCACGGCACATAGCTTGTTTTATAATTGTTCATCTAATATGTGCCAAAGTCCAAATTGTAGATAATCTCTCCCGAATATTACTTTCGAAAATGATTCTCACATTCATGTGATATCATCTTTCAAGTGTTTCTTTATTGTAAAATCAATGTGCATGTCTTCTATAAGTATTCCATACTTGTGTGCATAAATTTAGGGAAAGGTTACTTTACAAGTTGGATGCTTTGAGACTAACACCTTCTCATGTTTATCATATGTGTAATAGTCTCATTGCAAGGAAAATGGAGTCCCCGGAGTTAAGCATCATACTTCAAATATCCACCACCAACTGCAAGTGGTAGAAATCAAATTGGTTTCCACATGTGGTATTTCTAAACCGATATCATCATGTTGATTTCACTTTGGTATTTATATGCTTTCTTCATGCATTATATAGATTAAACTCCCTTAAGCATTAGTTTGTCAATTATGCATAAACTACATTATCCATCATATGTATGCATATATTTAGGGGGAGCTTAGTCTATGTAATGTGAGAGTCAAATTTTGTGACATATTCCACTCCACATACAAAGGTTCACAAAGTTTGACCCTCCCTTGTGCTACTAAGTCTTCCTTTTCGGTGTTTGATTCCAAAGGGGGAGAATTTAGAGGACCAAAAGTAAGCATTAAATTGTAGGACCAAAAGCAGGTTCATAATAATTTACAAGTGGTAATGGTCTACAAGTGGTAATAGTCCGAGAAAGGAAGGATAGTGGATTATGGATTAGTCTATGTAATGGGGAGAATTTGTAGGATCAAAAGAAAGGCTTAAATCCATAATACCACATGGGGACATTTGTAAGGGCAAGATAAGTTTTCAGGTGGTATCTTTTAGTCTTACAAGTGATATCTTTTAGCATCATATAACCTTGCCCTTTTGTATTGCATCCTAGCAAGTAGATAGTTTTTAAATTGCACATTTTTATTATTTGATTGCTTTGGTCGTGTTGTCATCAATCACAAAAAGGGGGAGATTGTAAGGAAAATGGACCATTGGCCCATTTACTTTGGATTTTGGTATTTGATGACCAACACTACCAAATTGGACTAACAAATTTACAAGTTATTGTTTTGTAGTTCAATAGGGTGCAAGACGTGACTTGGACGAAGGCGACATGATGATCCGATGATCAACACCTTATGCAAGACCCTAGAAGCACAAGAGAAGACCTAAGATATCAAGCAAAGTCCAATCACAAAGATAGGAACCAAGCCGACCGCAAGATCATGAAGAAACGAGCTCACAGTGGTTACCGGACGTAGTGACCGAACGCTGGTCTTACAACGACCGGATGCTCCAATCAAGAGGCTCGACAGCAGCAGGCGTTAGCAGTAGCGACCGGACGCTAAATAGTAAAGTGACCGAATGCATAGATGGCATTGTTCTTCATCACCGGCAACACACTTAGTACTGACCGGACGCTGGCGGCAAATCGACCGGACGCAGGACTGCAGCGTCCGATCAAGTACAAAAAGGTTTCAGAGCGGCGAAAGTACGACCGGACGTGTCCGGTGGCATGTGACCGGATGCTACCAGCGTCCGATCAGTTGATCGTGGCTCTAACGGTCAGGACGACCGAACGCGTCCGATCAGGACGACCTGAGCGTTTGGTCAGTAGCAGAAAAGCGGGATTTCGTCTCCAATGGCTACTTTCTCATTGGGATTTATAAATAGACCCCCCAACCGGCCATTTGAGGATAGTGAAGCTAAGAAAACATATCTAGGGTGTTGACACACCATTTTAGTGATCTCCACTTGCATAGTGCATAGTGATTCATTACGTGATTAGTGTAGGTGCTTTGCGAAGTGCTTAGATTGATTAGACCACCGCTTATGCGCTTGCTCTAGGTTTAGGCCTAGTATTTAGTGAGGTTTGCATACCTCTTACCACTCGGTGCTTGCACGCACCATTGTTGTACATTGGAGGGGCTTGTAGTCTTGTGAGATCACACCAACCGCGTTTGTGGTGTGGCTGCCATCGTGTACCGGAGAGAACAAAGCTCGCGGTGTTTCGGCCAGAAGCTTGATAGTGAAGACGGCGGGGAGCGGTCCGGGAGAGGCTTGCCGGAAGGCACACCGGAGACCCACTTGCGCGTGGGGAAGGCCCGGGATTATCCATGGAGTTACCCGACCGGGAGCTTGGCCCTTGCGAGGGATTCCTTGCGAGGGGCTCCAACGAGGACTAGGGGAAAGCTTGCACGCTTCTCGATACCTCTGTAAAAATATCAGAGTCGTCGACGGGAGTTTGCATATCTCTACCTTGCTCTTTAGCTTCCGTATTTACATTGTTTGTATTACTCCTTTTGCGATAGAGATAGAATACACTAGTAAAACCGTAGTTGCACATTTAGATAGTTTATCTTTTGTATAGGTTTTGCTAAGGGTAGAAAAAGAGACCATAGTTTAGAAGTAGAATTTTAAGTTGTCTAATTCAACCCCCTCTTAGGCGTCTCGATCCGTTACAACTGTCATAATTGAGAAGACAAAACATATTCCGTATGTTGAAGTTCACTGCTAAGCCAGGATGTTGCCAGCCAGGAGGGATGCAAAGCACATCAACCCTAACCCATCGACCCCTATGAACGCATATGTTTACAGACTAAGCTTCGTAAAAAGTTTCAATCACAATCTCTAATGTGTTGAACAGCAATGACAGGCAGGAAATGAACGACCACAGGGATTATGCCTATGGGACAGCTGCCCTTCCCTCGATCATTTTAATCTTTGAGTTAAAAGAGTTTGGTTTTTCTTCGATGAAGTTGGTTGAATTTAAGCTGCAAGCGTAGACTACTTTTTCAGTTCAAAATTAAATTCCACAAAGGTCAGCAGGGGAAAGACGCATCACAATCACTATTCACTAATCAATCGTACCCATTCCTTCTATGCCCCTTCAACACTTGAATTGCGCCCGTTGCTTTGTTCAACAATTGAATTGCACCTCATTACTACATTCAGGCCTATCACAAGCGATTCGTAAAGTCCATCACTAGCGCTTTTCGATCTCAGCAGTAAGCTGTCGGTACTGATGGCATTGGCATCATAGGCTGTAGCGCATGAACAGTACAGGTCAGATTAGATTGATTAGGATTAGTTATGAAAGAGATAAGTTAGGAAAGGGATAAGATAGATTGATTCGGTTAGGATATTATTTAGGGGTCAAGTATGTTGTCTCTATAAAAGAAACCATCGTGTATCACTTAGAGTCAAGCAAAAAAAGATAGTCCCCGAAGAAGGATGGCTATCTAAGGTCTCTCCGCTAATCCATCTATCCGTAGCCATTTCGTAACAAGTGATAGAAAGTGATGGATGCACCTGACAACATATGAAAAGAAGTTATGATCGGTATTGTGTACAAGAGAAGGGGCAGACCAGGACAGCGGCAGAAGACGTGGGCGCGTCCACGATCCCACCCACGACAGGAGGCGTGGCATATTGTCCCCTGCGCTTAGGATACTCTGTTTTGGGGTTCTCCAGTTTCGCTCCTGACGGCGCCCGCACGACGATCGTCATGGAAGCGCCGGCAGCCACCACCACTCACTCTTATAGTCTTCCTTTCACACAGCCCGCAAAAGGATACACCATTCAAAGTAGTCTATGGTCGCGTCCTACCGCCATTGAATCCCTTCCAGTTCCAGCTTGGCTCTGCAAACACTCAGGCAGTGGAGTCCATGCTGCAGGATAGGGACACTTTCTTGGCAGAGTCAAAGAACGACTGCATCAGGCTCAACAGCACGCCAAGCATTATCATGATGAGCATCACCGCGACCTTGAGTTTGCAGTGGTCTCCTGGGTGTGGCTGCGGCTGCTAAACAGGCAAGTGCGAACGCTGTTTTTTTTTTTCGAACGCTGGTGGCACAGCAGGCAGGAAAGTTGGGCCCAAAGTATGCAGGACCCTTCCTGATCACAGAACGAGTTGGCAAAGTGGCATATCGTCTTGCACTGCCTGAAAATGCTAGAATCCATGACGTGTTCCATGTTGGAGTGCTGAAGCAGTACCATTGAGTTCTACCAGCAGCTACCCCCACCTTGCCACCTATGGAAAATGGCCGCCTGTTGCCGACACCAGAGCGTGTCCTCCGTGCTGCTGTTTGTCGCGGAGTGTGGCACGTTCTAGTCCAGTGGGGTGGTACTACACCGGAAGATACTACATGGGAACCTGTCCATCAATTCAAGGACCGCTACCCTGCCTTCCAGCTCGAGGGCGAGCTGTTTCGAAAGGAGAGGAGTGATGTTATGACTTGTGTTTGTGTACAAGAGAGTGGGAAGAAAGGGGGAGACCAGGATAGCGGCAGAAGACATGGGCACGCCCACGATCCCACCCACGACAGGAGCGCGGCATAGGGAGTCAATTGTGTGCGTGCGTTTGTATCCAACTTGTATTAGAGTCCAGGGACTAGGCAGTTAGGGGGTAAGCAGGGCAACATAGTTGTTGTCCCCTGCGTTTAGGATATACTCTGTTTTGGGTTCTCTAGTTTCGCTCCCGACGGTGCTCGTATGACGATTGCCGTGGAAGCGCCGGCTGGCCATCACCACTCATTCTTATTATCTTAGATCCCTGGGCTCTACCACAAAAGGCTGCTATAGAACAAGTGTGGGTGAGTGGGTGGGTGTGCATCTATAGTTATAACCCTTTCTCCTTCAATATCTAGCTCCCCTGCATGTTCAAGAAAACAAAACATATGCCAGAGGCCAAGAGCTACATCCAATCTGTCAAAGATGAACAAAACAGGGTTACAGCTAAACAAAATGGGAGGTACTATGCTACAAATGACAAGTTGACATAATGAGAAGCAAATGGCAAATCACTGGCCAGCAAACAGGGTCATGAAATAGAGTGAGAAGCAAAAGAAACAACTAAAGTTAGAACAAACTTACAGAGGAACTGACCAGCAGTCGCAGCCTAAATGTGAAAAAACAGCTCTGTCACATCTTTAAGTGATGAAATCAAATAAATCATAGAACAAAGCAGCCAATTCAAATTCAGTACATAGATCCAGTCTTCAGTTTTCATTGTTGTTCAAACTGCCAAATCTTAAACTTCCCATCGTAGATCTTGAAACTACAGAGAATAAACAAGACCTGGAAAAGCATGCATACTTTTTCCCAATGATCTCTTCTCTGTTAAACTATGTAAATCTGCAACAGAACTTGTGAAGGAAATGTGTTGTATAAAAAAATACTCACAACAAACAAGTTGAGTTAATCACTAGCATCATTGAACTATAAATCCAAACTATGAAACCATTATAGCAGGCTGAGGTGGTGGAACAACAGGAGATCAGATAGAACAGGAAGATGGATGGTCCTCAGCATAGTAATAAGGAATAGCATGCAGGGCAGCAGTGCAATGGCATATCACCTATACTGACATTTTGGATAAATAAGAGCATGCAAGACAAGATCCCAATGAAACTGAAGATTCAGAAGTTACAATGGACAAAATATGCAAAACAAGAGGATGATTTGTTAATATCGTGTTCAAAATTTCTAAGCTTCTGGTTAATCAAAGATACCAAATTAAGCAGAAATTACTCATATCTTCCTCATCATATCAACTTTCATTTCATTAATACTCATAATAATTTAGCTGGGTTTCAATGACCTGCCATATCTTTCATGAAGAGTATGATAGTTCACATGGATAGTACTAAGAATTAAGAAGCAGCATAATAATAAACCCAAAAAGAACACATAGACAGTTGGAATGCAGTTACAAGGCACAAATATATGCATATAATAAATCATATTTATGTACTTATGAGACAAACCTACAACATTATGAATATTAAATGACGATACAAACATATGCATAGGAAATATCAACATGTATCAAGTTTGGATAAATATCTTGTCAAAAGCAATGCTATGGGTAAACCTGTACCATAGATGAGCTTTAGAAAACTAAACCACAAAAGATAGAATCTTGAGATTGGCCAATTAAAAATCCTTTAAAAATTTGTGGTACCGACGGAATATTTATGAGAATGGAAGAAGTGTCATCACCAACAGTTGTTTTTTCAGTTCTTCAGGGCAAAGTCATAATACAGAACTGGTTAATGTAAAGAGTAACCTTGAGCTACTTTACAATACTCAAATAACATTCAAGGGAATGAACAAAACTTAGTATCAACAACTCTTTTTTTTTCTTTTCAATTCAGGTCACATTAGTGTCATATTTTAGCCTGATACATATGTAGTATTATTCTGTATACATTTTTTTTCAATCAAAGGATTTCAAATCTTCTACACTTTTGAATGTGCTCACATAGAAATAGGCTACAAAAAAAATGTCCCTTTTAAGCTTTTGAATGCTTTGGAAAATTCAACATGAGCTTCTTCAGCCTCACACTAGGAAGATCAGTATAACAGCCAATATTGGCTATTATTACATTAGCGTAACTATGGACCCAAGAAAATAGTACATTACAAGTTACATAAGGTCATCTACTGAATTTTAGCACTATGATCCCAAATAATAACGAATTGTGGGTCAACATCACTCATAAAATTATACTGGAAATTAGTGACTCCTCTGGTTAAACTGAATCGCAAACTGATCAGCAGCCACCATTGCTTGTGAAGCTGAAGCAAGAGAACCATCATACCTATACATTAAGAAACCGGTGTGAATTAAATAGTTTCTTATGAAGAACACAGTTTAATAGTAACAATATGTAAGAAAATTTCATAACCAGTTTCCATGAATTGGAAGTTGAAGAAAAGGTACATACATAGAGACTAACAAGTAAGCTCCAATCTGCATAACTATTACTCCTTCACCTCCTGACTTTGTGCTGTTAACGCAACGGGCGCAAAACCAGTTTTCATGGATTGAGGTGACCAAATCTACAAATCATAACTTTCTATCACAAATTGCTGACCGCAGCAATGACAATCCATTTGACAAGTTATATAAATAAAAATATATTCAGCATGTGGAACACTCACATTGGTTTGGCCCAACAGAGAAGAATTCAGTCTGCAGATTGCCCCTCTTAACAAAGTCCAGGAATGGATGCATATCAAGAGCTGAAAGTTGTGTTCTCTCTTGCTCTGCTCTGGACAGAGGAAAAAGACTTTCTGTAAATTTTCAGCTACACAAACTTCAGCATTCATGGATTATAACCAACAGGGTATTTCCGATCTTCAAAAACAACAACATGCCATATAGATCCCCTTCGGATATCAGATTCATTCATTGCACAACTCAACATCCAACGAATATTCCTTCTGTTACAGGAGATTATAACCAAATCATATATTGAATCTCCCAAGTAACCATATGGCCATAAGGAAGATATAAAGCATAAAAATGTAAAACTGGCAATCGTAACTACTCCATCTGTTCCAAATTATAAGACGTTTTGACTTTTCTAGATACATTGTTTTCCCATAAATCCTAGTGATATTCATCAATTGCAGAATTGTTGTGATCCACAGATGCAATCGCTAACAGATTGTACATGTCACAAATCGCTACAGGCAACAATTAGAGGTAAAAGTGGCCACTGGTAGCTATACCATGAAAAAGGGAAAACGAAAATGATCTGAGGAAGGGGAAAGGACTCACACGACGGGAAGGAGCCGAGATGGCCCGGAGGGGTCGTAGTTGAGCAGCAGTGCGGCCTGGACTGGCTTCCCTGCGAGAGCACGTCAGTCAGTTAGGGCGATACAGGGAGATTGAAGAAGCAAAAAAAAAAAAAAAAAAAAAAAAAAAAAAAAACAAAGGGGCACGAGAGAATACCAGAGGGGCCGACGTGCTTCGCGGCCCACTTCTCCCAAGCCCTGCGCGCCCACCACCAGTCTGCCGCCATTGGGGGCGCCGGGGCGTCACCGCCTGCTACTGCCGTGTCGCCGCGAGGATGTGTTGCGCGGTGGTGAGGGTAGCGGAGGCGGCGCCGTCGGGGCTGTGTCCGAGAGGTGGGGTTTTGTTTGGGCTTAGGGCATGTTAACCTTTGGGGCCGTGTTGCAGCATAGATTTCTCAGCCCAGTAACGGACACTTGAGACATGAAGAAAAGGGGAAGGCCCTAATCATTTATCTTTTATTTTTAAACCTGTTTTATGTATTAATCAATTTATATCTATAGGTACATGTATAGGCATGTCTCCACCTTTTTAAACTCACAAAGGTATACACAATAACCACTCTATTAAGTTGAGTTAATTTCCATCTCTCACTCTCCCCATCCGTCATCCCTCGATCCATCATTCCTCGCTCTCATCCTTCTTGCTTTAAGTGTGGAGCTTAAAAACCTTCTTTTGCATGCACACCACTCATCTTGTGGCTTGGTCGCCCGAGCTCATTCGCGTCGTGGCGTGTATTTTGTCAATCTCCCGTCATTTTTCATACAAATTTTATCATTTATTACATTAATATTTATTGCGGGCCTTGAAACTTATTTGATTTAAGGTTGGGCCAAGCCGAGTCAAATTTAACAAAAATAGCTAGCCCATTATCATTCCCATGAGCACCATGCAACAAATTGTTTGTCCATTGAACACATGAGCATGTTTGCTAGTATATTTAAGAATATAAACCTTTTCCACGTTGGAGGAAATGTCGTGGAAAATTATCACATTATCTCTGTGTCAATGTTTTTACCATTGGAAATAAAAACTCAGGTGTGTCGCTTGCAGATCATATGGGTAGCCCATGGGATACATAGATTATATTGCGTTTGCCTAAGAGTCTGCTTGGTTGGGTGGCTAACTCCTGGCCAGGCTCATGGAATTCACCTTTGAGCTGTTTGGTTGCCTGTTTAGAGCTCATAGCTAGGCTCTAGAAGCCACCGACCACCCCTAACCTGGCTCCAGAAAAACGCAGGCATGGTCGTTCTCTGGGAGCGGGCTAGGCTCCGGTCCCGAATCTCGTCACCGCCCGTGCGCTCCTCCTCTGCCCTTCGTTGAAGGTGATTGTGCCATGCTTCTCCACAATCGACAACGGACCACCCGCCGCAGCTCGCAAGTGGACGCATTCCTCGCCTCGCTCCGCCCAACCCGTCACAGTCCCGTCACCCAATCCTTCCGTGCACCTCGAGATGTCGACCGGACAACCGCACGCGCACGAGGCCGCCGTCGACTGCCGGCCCACTCGCCACCGCCGCTCCCTGCGGAGGTGGTGCCGACGTACCCGCCCCCGGAGTCGGAGGACGACAAGACCTAGGTGTGGAGGCCCGCCGCGATGCGGACGCGGAGCCAGGGCTCGCCTTCTTCCTCTACGCCACCATCCTATGATCCTGTCCCACCCGTCCCTGCCCCGCTACCTCTCCTTCCACTTCACCAACAAGCTCTGCTCCTCCACCCTCCTCTCTGGCGCCTCAAGGAGCAGTAGCAGCAGAGCGGCCTCCCTTCCGCCGGCTCCGGTGTCTCCAAGCACGAGGCCAACAGCAGCAGGCAGCGGTAGTCGCAGGAGCAGTCCCGACGCAAGATGTCATGCGCGCAGGACGGGATCCTCAAGTACTTGCTCAAGATGATGGAGGTCTGCAACGCGCCGGAGATCTGCTAGCTCGCGCGGCTAACCATGCGTTCCACGCCGCGACGGGCCTGCGTGGCTCAACCAATTTTGAACTTTTCAGCTCGACTCATTTCTAGCACATGTAAATAAAAACATGGCAAGGCTCTCAAAGGTAGACATATGATAGGATGGTTTTAGCCCGTACCTCTCCACCAATAAACGATGGAGGTCCTCGAATATTTCATTGCTCATACGAAGTTGAGTATGGCATTCCCCTGGAGTGTGCAATGTCTCTAGCAACCATCGTCCTTGGTGGGTTTTTATCTAGGTACATGTCACAATATATTTGGGCAAGCATAGCACCACTTAAGACGATTTTGAAAAAAAATCATCGTTCTCATCACTAGAATCATCACTAGACATCTGTAAGAAATGACATGTGCAAATGAGCATTAAAAAGTTCAACATGTCCAAATGATCATAACAGATTGCTCCAACATGTCGAAATGAGCATAAATAAATGACAACATGTCCAAATGATCATAACAGATTACTCCAACATGTCCAAATGAGCATATATAAATGATAACATCTCTAAAATGAGCAAGCAAAAAAGGACATGTACAAATGAGCATACATAAATGGCATCTCTAAAATGAGCAAGAAAAAATGACATTGTCGAAATAGCAACAATCTCCCAATAACACAAACAACTTGGCCTTCATTTTCCTCCATACATCACATCATACTTCCTCCTAAGGCAATTGAGCTGGGGGGGAGGTCAACATTTCCCTTTGCTCTTTCTTGATAAACAACTCGGATGCCACAAAGTGCTCATCGGAGTTTGGTCGAGCACCACATGCCACAACATGGTCCATGACTTGGTTAATGGTGATCCAACCTTGCCTATTAGACACAAAAGACACTACTACAGATTGACACACCACTATCGCCACTTTCACTGCCGTAACGATAGAAGCGACGGTGTTATACTTCCACCGTCGGTTGGACCGATAGCGAGGCCTCCTAAGGAAGGAAACCAGTAGTTGAAACTTCTACCACCCATAGGTTAATAATAGATGCGGTAGTGGTATTTTCTCCATCGTATGAAAAGTCGAGCCAACTAGGATTGGCATTATGACTGCCGGCCCTACATGACCGTTTGGTCTACCGGCGGTAAATTCATCGTGAGTGTCGAATGTCCCAACTTCCAACACCATCTCACCACTTCCGCTGGGAACTGTCGTATGCCACGTCTCCCTTGATGCGTATGCCTTGATCACGCATCTTAACTACTCCTCTTCGCTTCACCATCTTCGAGGTTGGCCTATTTAAGTCGGGATTGGATGTGCTTCTTGGCAATCCACACACTCCTTCCTCCTTAGATACGATAGATACAGACAAAGCTCTTGAGCCAACCATCTACATTTTCTTCATCGCCATGGTGCTGCTTCTCCAACTCCTCCAGTGGCAGCAACGATGTTGGGAGAAGGCCTTCAAGATTGGGTACTACCGGCATCTAGGCGTAGCGAGGGCTGCTCGATCTAGCTGCTAGCGGAAGTTTTGCGATTAAGGAGGTTCCACTTATTTGAGCAAGCCAAGTGGTACTGAATGCACTTTGGTATCCCTGGTTTGGCATTGCTAGGCTTCATTGGGGCTGCTGGGATGTCGTTGGTGGCTCCTATGATGGCTCCGATGAGCATAGGGCCGCTTGTAAAGTGATATGTCTGTATGTATAGTTGCCCTACGCACTTCTTGTATTGCTGATTCACTATCTCGGCGCCCTGGAGATCCTCCTTCCTCTAGAGCAGCAGCAACGACGGCGGCGCTTCTCTTCCATGCCTGCTATTCTTGCCTCTCTATCGACCATGAGAGGTGCAGTAGGGAAGGTAAAACACCTCACTGAGATGCTGGTGGAAGTTTTTGGCGAGGTGCTACCTCATCCTTAGCTTGCGCTTCCTGTCTCTAGACTTGACTATGGGATATACCTATACTCGATAGGTCTTTGTTATTGTACACCCAGTAGTCTTCTATAGGTCTTTGTTATTGCACGACTATGGAATGTAACTAAAGTTATCAATGAAAATTTTCCTCATGTGGATGTGATATGATGCTTATTACTGTGTTGTTTATATATAGTTTTTTCCTTAAAAACAATTAATAACTGAATGGTTGTAATGCTTGTTACTCTATTTTTTATGTGTCATAGTATTTTCCTTGACTATATAGATGTGAGATAAAGCACCTCACTGAGATGGTGCTGGGGTGGAAGTATTTTCCTGATTTATTTGTGAATTGGTTTGCTGTGTTTACAAATTGTCATTATTGCAACTCCCATAGCCATTTCTGTAGCAGAACTGTCCAATTTATTAGAGCATAAGTACAATAACAGCCCGTAAGCAGCCGCACTGTCATACTTGAGCCCATATAAACCCAGTGGTCCGTCGAGTACCACGAAGGGTCTCGATTAACCATCAACATACAACCAAAATCATACATGATTCAACATACATGTCACACGTTACATAAAGTTCACAAATACGGTTCCATACATCAGAGTACGATTAAAAGTTATTACAAACCAAGTTAAAATAAAATAGTAGCCAAGCAAATAAGTTTGAAACCAACATCTGTCATCATTGTACAAATACGATGCCAGCTCATGATCACAATTCCACAAAAGCATAAGAGAGGGATTATCATGAGACTCCTTGCCCAGGGCCCTACTCCTCGTCCATGGCAGGACAGAAGCAGTTCTTATAGTAGCCACGATATATCGTACTATCTGCAATAATGGGAAAATAAACCCTGAGTATAAGAAGGTACTCAGCTAGACTTACCCATCATAAACCAAAAATAAAGTGACTCCAAGGATCATGCAAGGCTTTATAAGTGGAGCTAGCTTGACAATATTTTGCATCAAAAGCTTACCAATTCAAGTATACAGTTATAATTCGATCATCAAGTTAATTATAGATATTCATCTCTAGATTAGCAACTAACCTATGCCAAATATGTGGTATATCATTTAGTAGCATGCAGTAGTAACCATAGCCGGTATAATAATCCATGTTCATCATAACCATCATATTCCATAATACAGTTACTATAATGTTTGGGCTAGTCAAGTTTCTCACTGTCCGGGAGAGACGGCGATTCAAATCGATTTCAACCAGTTGAGAATTTATTCCTAACTCAAACCCAGGCAGACCAGATCAACGGTCACCTTAGGTCACCTTTGGTACAACTCAGGTCTTCATTTCATGGGTTCGATCAGCGTCGCACAATCAAGGACGGCCAGCTGCTAGGACGTTCAGGCCTAGCCTGCCCTTGGGCTCACGTCTGGCTCCCCGCACATC